CTGATGAAAATAAATATTATCTTCTCACACCATATCCCACATTAATGCAATCACTCAAAAAATTTTCACCAGAAAGCATTCGCGCTATTGCTCGAAACCCAAATATAGACTTACAATCAATAGGAATCTATTCAAAATCAGATATTCAACATCACATTAGAACACAACAATTCCAAGAATTATTAACACAAATGGACACTATACAAAGACAATCAATAGACCAAAATTTACGCAAACTTGCAGAAACCGCAGGATTTGCCGATATCTACACGCAAGACTATAGCGGATATTTTAAGGACATTAAAGATTACATATATCTAAACGGTGAAAAATACCGTCCCCAAGATATATCACCAATTAACATTTTTAGCTTTGTTACACTCAAAAATGAGATCCTCGATTTTCTAGGATGGCCCTACTACATCTTAGAAAAATTGACTATTTTATACGCAATGTTTAACTTTATTGGATTTCTTTTCTCACTTTTAAAAGGAATCTACAACACATGTGCTATACACACACAAGTAAACAGACAAGCAAGTGTAGCACGCATACTATTTGCAGGATTTTTTGGAATCTTTTCTACATCTATAAACAAAATTCTTTTAGACGCACAAATAAAAGAATATAACACAAAAATAACAACACGACAAAATACATACGACGAAGAACATAACAATGTAGACATAACGCCAACGGCACCACAATTACCAGCCCTACCAAATAACCATCCACTATCCCTAGTCCCACGAAATTTTCGAAACTTAGCCATCACACATAATCCAAATTTTCGACTCACCACATCACAAAGTCCCATTCAACATATAATGACACACCAGTCACAAGATGATAATACTTATGAACAAATTATTGAACAACCCCATACCACCGCTTTTCAGTCTCAAAATAATCATTTTTTTAGCCCACGATGAGCCGCCAACTTGGATCACTACACCGATCAAATTCCCACCCAACCAATCTTACCTCTCCAATCTCAATAATACCACTTTTTGCTTTTCCGCCACCCGATTTTCCATCTAGTAATGTAACATCAGGCATGAATTCCGACACTAATTCACACATCTCAGTTTTATACTCCATCTCACAGCTAAATAACCCGAATATTGAAACCCCCGATGAATTCGCCGACTCAGAACCATCCCCATCCAATAATTTTCATAACTCTTCTAATTTTTCTCAACCCCCTTTTCAACCCATATTATCCAATAACCCTGACCCAATTACTCCCACACCCTCTTATGCTTCCCAAGTTACCCCAACCTATTCCTCATACCATTCTGACCAATCATCTCATTCTCCAGACACCCCCCGAATCTCCCCAGAGCTAGATAATTTTATTACCCTTCAACAACAACCCTACCACCTTAATACCCCAACCATAAACCAAATCTCCTCCACAATAAATTCATCCAACCCCCCTACCCCTACACCCTCTTCAACTTATACTGAATTATTAGCACCATCATCCACATCAACTGAATCTTCACTCAACACTAATAGAGCTTACCGCACTTTTAAAAGAAAGTTCCCCAACCATCCTTTCCCAGCAAAACCAGGAACAGCCCGTGAATACATCAACCACCCCAAGCATACTAACACAAAAGAATTTTTAGCCATCACCTTACCCTCATTCCCACAATACACCTTAAACACCCCCCACGACACTAACGAAACACGCAACTTCGTAGATGAATACGTTTTAATGCCTACTCTCTCTTGGACCTCATATTATCATTTCACGAACCCTCTTTGCTTACCTTTATCTAACACTCACATCGATATAGAGCGAAATACGGACATGCTATATCGACTCACTACACCACTAACACCTAGACAATTTACTTACGTTGGATATAAAAAATCACTAAAAACACACACTGCCCCTAGAGCTAACGAATATACACTCGAATACTATGATCACAACATCATCAGAGCTAACCAAGATCAATTCTTAGACGACGATCGCTTCGCTAATCCACAAATTACCGAGAAATTTTTCATCAAGACACCATATACATTCACACTAAACATCTTCGACCGAAAGTTTGATCACATTATTTCAGAAGCACTAACAGACACACAAGCATACGAAAGTTTTAAAGAACGCTTCCAAATATTTTCACTAACCTTTCATTTCCTTGCACCACACGAAAGAGATTTACACTGCTCACACGATATTATGTTGCGCACTAAACAAACCCACACATATAGTTATTATCGCTTCATCCAAAATCACTTTGACCTACACACACCCTCTAGACAACCACACCATCGTTTTCAATTCATTAATTCCAAATACACTTCACCATTTTTCCTAAATTTCACATATTGTATTAAAGACACTAACCTCCATGGTATTCTTCGTAATTATGACCCCATAACCCAAATGTACATCTTCTGTCCCATTACCAAGACCTTCAACGCCGAAGAATCCCGACCCTTCCTTATCCCGCACGAGTTTGTACAACCCATAGAAATCCCAATTTTAGAATTCATCCACAACACTAAATTCAATCACAAATTATATAACTTAATCCAAAACACACCTTATGAGTTTGCAGTTGGCACTGAAGAACTAACCACTATCAAGGCACTTCAATTGCTTTGGCCACTGCTTCAAACTAAAAATATCATCCGCATCTTAGCTAAACTACTAACAACTTCAGAACTAATTCACGACATCTTCCCCCACGGTTTTTTCCCCGACGACTAACAGGTAAGTATGAATTAAATGAATATTACTAACTAATTAAAATATTAAAAAACTCACCATACTTTATTCATGTTTTCTTTAGATTTTTAGCCTTCATCCGACGATCACCTACAAAAACCACAAAAGACAAATAGAAATCGCAAATTTCATCAAACAGATTTCAAAAATTCTATTAATCTCTTACACTTATAAATTTATAAATTTAATACCAATGCAGTAAATTCGTTTCTAAAATTTTCCCCCACAAGCAGTAAATCTAATTATGATGAAAATTTGTATCTTAATATTCCCCCATGACTAGCAGTAAATTTCTAAATTCTATGTAGTACATTAAATAAATGCAAATGCAGTACTAACCTTTTGATATTTTCATTCATTCGCACAGAAATTCTATCCACACTCGCACAGCTCGCCCACGAAGAATTGTTTAAAATAATGAATTTCAGTTTCAAGTTTTCACACTCAACAACTCTAACATATAATAACATGTTTCAAACTTTCCTTTAACCCGGTTGGAAAGGAATCATATACTAAACAAAACTAACCAACGCAGCTTACTAAATACCACAAATCATAGAATAACAGCATGACTTAGAAAAAGAAACCAACGGTACCCAAACCGGATTAACCCAGTTTAAAACTGGATAATTTATTCTTTTGAAGACTATTATAAAGTCTAAGAAAGAAATAATAAAACACAAAAAAGTCGAAAGACAAACCCATACCACAAACAATTTGATTTTTGAAAAAAGGACACAACCAACAAAACATAAGTAAGACCACAACAAACTCAACATAAAACGTTGTCACATAACAGGACCCCTCACAAAAACCGCATGAAATCATACTCCCACTCCTGGCCTAACCCACCAGGAAGGACGTCCTGAGCATGCTCTATAGCCGGCCTAACCCACCGCGCTACATCCACGCTTTGTGACCACACCACTATTTTTAATAAGAGCTACTCAAGTGTGAGTAACTCTTCAAAATAACCGAACTAAAACAAAAAGCTTTTGTGAAAACAACTAACTAAAATCATTATTAAAAAATATTAAACTAATAAAAGTTTTATAAAATGTAAAATCACATGATGCAATACATAGATCAGAATACAACACCAAGGACGAACATCAAAAGACAAGACGACCCCACTACACTCGAGAGAGAATGACCAACTACAATCGATATGCCGCTCACAATCACAACTCAAAGGATTTAGAGTACGACTTGACCTCGCAGAAAAGGACTTCATTGAACTAGACCAATGACCACCTCGATGTTCAAGTATACGTACAGATCCGAGTAACCAGGCATCCCCTCCACGCACAATCTCCACGCCATTCCCAAACTAGATCATACACAAAAGAAGTTCTCCACGCAGAACAGAAAAACCTGACATAGCAAACCATTCTGAAATCAGATTTGAGTTTGTTGCAAAGACGTAGTCGTTGTCACTAGAAGACACAACGTCTTATGTCTCTAACTCCAGCTTCCTGGAACTTCCCTAACAAAAGAGGAAACGGAAGAAAATTATGATGTTCGCCAAAAACAAACGTCCATCATCCATCCTTCGAATTGCAGAAGAACTATTCTAAAAAACTCTGTAAAACCCGGATGGGTGGAACCTGATCTAAACTACATTTTATGATTGGATAAATTAAATGTTTTACCAATGTAAAGTATTTAATATTAACCAATCATGATCCATCTAACTAACAACCCACTTATTTGTAAGTGCTGAAGTTACTTGTAATTTCAGCACCAGAGAGATTTGAATTTAACTTAGAAATTAGTTGGACTCTCCCGAGCACTTCAGCAGCCGCAATAAACCAGTATACCCTAGATCTATTGAGCCTAGCAGAGACTAGTTAAACAACCTGAGACTAGATAGTATAAGAGTAAGATTAGGATCGGTATTAGACTAAGAAGTTGCACGAATCTATCCGGCCGAAAATAAGATAGCGTGACGAGCAGACGGTGTACCCTATCCGAAATTACTCTATGAGTTACACTTCGGTCCTAACTCATAATGATTTAATAATAAAAAAGACGTAAGAAAAAATAAATGGCTGTTTTCAAATGGCTTCTTGATTAGGGGTCTATTATTGTCACTATTCAGCTCACAGTGATGCTAGCTCACGGTTCACATTTTTATCCAAATCCTTTAAGCACCCGTTGTGACACTAAACTGACTTTGGGGCGGTGATTGATTTGATTTGACCAAATTCATTGCTTATTTTTTCCCTTCATTGATTCGTGGACTCACTTCATGATTGCCCTCGATTCGGAGAGGGTGAATCCGTCGGCGTCTATGATCACAGGGACCTGTCCCACAGGGTTCACTTTCTTCAACTCCTCCACACTGTTCTGGTTCTAAAGCCCCAAAACACCAACAATCACCACGGAAAAGACCATTTAAAAGATTAAAAAGTTTAGATTAAATAACCAAGACAAAAAATGAAGACTTTGAACAACGGCATGTTAAAATTGATAAAAGCGGTATTGTCTCATTTTGAGTATTATTATTAGTAGAAAAAGGTTCTGCTCTTTTTCTCAAAAATGATTTTGTTGTTCCGACCATTGAAAATGGGGAGGAACTTTGAATTCGGGTGTGTTTTAGTTTTTTTTTTGTTTTCCATGCAAAATCAGCTACCACAAAAAATCATCGAACAGGGTTAAGTGATATATGATATTAAAGCGGTTTTTCTCGACAGTGCGATTTGTTTAGAGTTTTTTTTTGGTCTAATTTCGAGCCAATTAGTAAGATAGTTAACAATTGCAATAGCTTATTTGAGCTTAATTTAAGCCCTGAAAACTTAGTTTTACTCAGGTAAAGGTAGTTTTGGAGTTTTTTGCGCAATTTTGGATATCAAAAACTTGATAATTCAAAAACTTTTTGCAAAAAGTTTTGAAATTTTTGAAATTTTTTTCAGTTTTTTTTTTCGTTTTTGTACTCGTTGTTCTTCAAAAACGGTTTTACAATTGACTTAGCTTACTATGACTCTCAAATATGCCTAAGTTCTATTTTTTTCGTTCAGATCTTTTTATCACGCCACGCCGAAAAACGACACTAATTTGAAAAAACTTTTTTTTTGTGTATTTTTTCAAGACTGGTCGGAACATTCTGAACTTTCTGAACATATGAAACGGTACTTCACTATATTGTTTCATCTTTAAAAGAAAGCAATTCAGTTCCTCTAGTCGTGTTGTCTAATCTTGCATAACAATTTTTATCTTGCCCAAAATTTTTCCTGAGAGATGCAAAAATTGACAAGAATAAATGTCCAGAGTCTTATCAATAATAAATGTCAATCTGCTTTTTTGGAATCTACTTAAGGAGGCGGTTGAAAACTTTGAAAAGGTGAAACTTTGTAAAAAAAAATCTTTATGGTATGTAATAACTGCTTCTTGAAGTTTCAATTATCACATATAAATGTCGACTTTGGCCTTTAGGGCGTCACTGGTGTCATCAGTTTGGCCCTCTATCTACCTGTAGATTGATGTCGACGAAGTTGATGGATAGTCTGAGCCACCTGGCCACTAACAACACCACTGCACAGTTGGGACTCCCTCTGTTCTGGTAGAACTCGATCACGCGCCTCACCTACACAATCCATATTTTTCAAGTCCAAAATAAACTGTTGGCTGCGTTCCTCGAATAAAAACGAATAGATGTGAAAAATTAAAAACCCCGAAACTTTATCTCATAAACCCAAAAAAAACGTTTCCGATTGCTCTATGGTTTTTTCTGTAGATTCCGACGCGTCCTTGAAAACAATTTTACGAAGCTTAATTTAGAAATGCAAACGCGATCGGACACCAGCCCATAAAAGACTGCCAATCTATGTACACTCATGTCAAGGCAAAAGCTGTTGCGGTGACCAGAGCTGCGGAATCGGCTGATAATGGAATCAGCAGAAGAAAGCGATTTCGTGTAAACAACTGCTAGACTGTTTCTCTTCTTTTTCTGGCGCGCAATTCTGAGACAAATGGTTAAAAGACTGCATCTTTATGTTAACTTAAGCTGCAAAGTTAGCGGAGTTCGGAATATTTTACTGAATGAAAAAAAAAATAAAAGATGTAAGAATTTACCTCTTTTTGGGCTCTTTCAGCTTGAATACTGTGTTCAATCTCGGCCGCTTTGGCTGCTATATTTTGAGACATGACCAGCTTCGAGCCCACTTCATTCATACCCTGCGAGCTTGCAACTCCAGCCCTGGCGTAAGTCGAGGCACCCGGCTGGGGTTCCGAGTGAAATATTCCTGGAAGAGATCCCCCCAGCGTGGCTACGTGACCTCTGTCTGAGTTGTTACTCCTGTGAGACATGTTTGATTTCCGTGAGTACTGTTTGGTAGGCGGATCTGCATTTATGGGTTCGAATTTGCGCCATGGTTTTTCGTCACGAGGAGTAAACGCTAAAAAACAGTGGTATAATCAGTAGGAAGACTAGCGGGGGGACAACTTTTACCCCATTTAAGGACAGCCTCTCCCGACTTGAGCGCGACTGTTAAAAATATGAAGTAATAACTGTTCTTCACGAGTTATTAAGCGATATTGAGTAGGAAAGGTAAATATGATTTCAAATTGGCTGAAAAGTTTTCTGAAAAAACAAAAGTTTAGTTTTATCAAACGTTTCTCATTTTGGCGATAGTTTTAGAAACTATCGGTTCTAAAATTCGCTTCTAAAATTCTTTCTAAAATATTTCACGCCATGAACTCACCTTGGCTGAAGTTTGACCTATACGAGGTATCGTAAACATTTCTGTGCTCAATCATTCTTATTGTACAAAACTGATAATCTGCACGAATACGTGTTATTGTTTATGAGATTATAACCAAAGCTTTAATACAAAAAATAACGTCAGAAAATACATGAAAAATAATCTAGTTAAGAGACTAAGATTAGAATTTGATGGTCAATTTGTTGAGAACAAAACGTTCAGGAGTCCCTGTCTGAATGCTCGTACAAATCACAACAGCAGATTGGTGCGGTAATTTAGAACAATTGCCAAATTTTAGAAACAAACATAGCCATTTTAAGGTCAGGTCTGGTAGCGGAGGAAACGCAGTAAATGTGTGAGATGATAATTTCTTCAATTTCCATCAAACCAAATATATTTTTTTAAGATCCCAAGAACACTATAAAGCCTATTCAGACTCTTTTCTGCTAAACTTGTCTACACTGCAGGTAAATTTTATGAGAAAAAAAGCCAAAAGTTTGCGTTTTTTGGCGCGCGCTCCCCTCTCAAAATTAAACTATTTGCACAAAAGGCGTCTCTAGAAAAAATTGAGGGTCACCATGCCAAAAAAAGATGAAAATACGAGTGGTCCGGGGTTGATTCCTTGCAGGGTAGGAAGGTGCCCCCATTCTTCCACGCCCTAAATTAATTATGACGATTATCTACAAGTGAAAGGACCAACATACGAGCTGTTCAGCTCTTTTAAGTATCCCTGGTTAAGATATACATGCAGTTTTTGTGGCTTTTTTTCTGGGCTGCTCCGTTCTTTGCCACAATGTACAATCAGTTTATACCCTATTTGTTCCATAAGAAACTAAATTTCCCGACACGAACTTAATTTCAAAACCCTTAGTTATCTTGAAACTGTTTGAAAGAAAAATTGATGAATGGGTTTTAAACGCCATTTTTGAAGTAAATCGGAAAACTTAAATACTAGACTTTAATTATTTTATCTTGATTTTTTCAAAAATATTTATCAGATAATTTAGTTTTGAAAATTTGAACAGTGCCATTTTCAATCACTCTATATAGATTTCATTAACAGATTTTCTTGGCCTTGGCCTCTTTTACTCTCAAATTCGTAAAACAAAAATTATATCAAAAAATGTATGTCTTCAAAAATCGGGCCAAAAACTGTTTTAAAAACCGCGACCGTAAAAACTGCGACCACAATTAATCATCGGAGTGAGTTTAGTGATACATCAAATTTAAGTCTTTTAAATCGTAATTCGAACGATTTTAACTATTTTCTTAATAGTTTTTCCAATGTTGAGAAAAAAGGTTTGAAATTTCGAATGTTTGGTCTAATTTCAAGGACATAAAACGAGCGAGCAGGCCTACAATATCTTATTTGATTTGCTCAAAAGCTTACAAAAGGTTAATTAATCCCGAAAAAGTTTTAGTTTTAGTTTTGTAAAGTTTTTTCGAAATTTTTTTTGCGGGTTCTTGGAATAAAAACTTCAAAATTTAAAAAACAAAAACGCATAGAAAATATTGAAAAATGTTTATAAAATTTTCGTTTTTTTTCTATCCAAATTTTCTTTACAGAAAATTTTAATCAATTTGCACTTTTTCCTCTGACTGTCAAATGACCTAAGCTCTAGTTTTATGTTCCGATCTTTCTATAAACACCAGGAAAAAACGATACTAAATTGACGAAAACTTTTGGCTGTTGTTTTTTAAATAGTATGGTCGGAACAATCTGAGCTTCTTGCAAAGTAAGTAGCTATCCTTGTTTTATTTTAGTTTCTTTTCCAAGTTAAGTAAGGTAACACCAATAATCATTGGAACGGGTCAAGTGATATGTCACATTAGAGCCCTTTTTGTCTTGTTCGAAAATTTTAAAATTTCAAAAAAATGTCGCAGTGTTGAGATAAACTGGCCTACCACTCTTGAGTTACTGATTAATTTCGATTCGATTGATTACCGAACTGCGACGATAGCAGGTTTATTGTAGTGAGATAAGACGCAAGATAATTGTTTTAAAACTTACTTTTTTCAGAGTTTTCTTAGTGCTCTTTGGGGAATAAAAATTTTCAAAAAATCAAAAAATTCTATAAAATTGACTTTTTCTTCATTATTTTGCAGATTTTTTTTTGTTTTATAACTTTTTGTCGTTTCTTAGAGAAACTGATGCCCAGTATGCCTATACTACTGTGACTATCAAATTCGTCTAAGTTCTAGGCTTTCATAACTTTTTTAGTCACACAACTCACAAAAAACGACACAATTTTGAAAAAATACGTTTTACGTTTTTTTTGACATGAATAGAGCCTTCTTGCACATAAACTGGCCATCTTTTTGGTAGTCAAAATATTCGAATATCAAATCAAATTTCATGTAAACAATTTTTTTAAAAAAACCAAAACCAGGCTGATATCAAATCGAAAAAAACGACTTTTTTATAACTTTCCTCCTTTGCAAGTGTGAATTCAATGCTAGGTACTGTATTCGTATGCTTATAAACGATAACTTCATCTGGAGTATCTTCATGTGGAGTATCTTTTACTAGTCATACCATATGACAGATGAAGATTTAAAAAATCTATAAACTTTCCTTTTTTTGAAGAACTCATCCCACAGGCCATATGCATGCATAATTCGCGTCATTACTTTATGCACCGTATCAATCTCAATGATTCATCAACAACAAGTTTTTGGTGCATTAAACAGGGCTTGAGTCATAGTGCTGCGTTTCGTCGCTTACATTAATAATCAGAATATGAACAAACTTAATTGCTTTGAGAAAACCCGTGGGCAAAAAGTGCTTTAACTGTGGTTTTTTTTCGAGAAAGTTATGAGCTGCGTTTTCTAAATTTAATTTAGATCTTTCTGTAAACACCAGGAAACAAACAATACTGAAATTTTAAAAATATTTGACTTTTTTTAATAATAATATGGTCGGAACATTCTGAGCTTCTTGTACAGTAAACAGCCCACCTCGTTTTCCTTTTTTTATCTTTTCCACGCAAAGTCAGGTAACACAAAAAATCATCGAAACGGGTCAAGTGATATGTCACATTGGAGCCCTTTTTCTCTTGTTCGAACATTTTAAACTAACTTTTTATGACTTTTGTTTTATTAAAATTAACTTAATTTTAGAAGTTTTTTTACCGCTCTGTTGAGAATAAAAAATTTCAAAATTTCAAATAATTCTATGAAAATGATTCTTTTTTCATAATTTTGCTGATTTTTTAAAAATAATTTTTTTTTTCGTTTTTTTTTGTGGAAACTGTTGCCGAGTTTGCCTATACTACTGTAACTATCAAATTCGTCTAAGTTCTAAGCATTCAACTAACTTTTTTAGTCACATAACTCACAAAAAACGACACCATTTTGAAAAAACATGTTATACGTATTTTTTCGACATGATTGGAACCTTTCTTGTAAACAAACTGGCCATCTTTGTCAGCATTCAAAATTTTTTGAAAATCAAATCAACATTCATCAAAACATTTTTTTTGAATAACAACCAGGCTAAAACCAAATCGAAAAAAAACCGAATCTTTAACTATATTTTCTCCTTTACAAGTGTGGATTTAATGCTAGGTGGCGGAAGAAACTTATGGCGGAAGAAAATTTAAAAAACCTATACATTTTTTTTTTCTGGAAAATCATCCCACAGGCCCTGTAATGCCATTGCATGCATAATTCGCGCCATATTTTATGCCCCGTATCAATATCAATGATTCCTTAACAACACGTTTCCGGTGCATTAAACAGGGCTTGAGTTATAGTGCTGCGTTTCGTCGCTTACATTATTAATCAGAAAATGAACAAACTCAATTGCTTTGAGAAACCCTGTGGGCAAAAAGTGATTTAACTGTGGCTTTTCTCGAGAAAGTTATAAGCTCCGTTTTATTAATTTAATCCAATTACGACTTTTTTGAAATCGATGCCAGGATGTCCCAACATGCCCGTGTTGGAAAAATGCGCCGGTTCCGAGCCAAGAAAAATTGCCTGAAATGGTCGATAGATTGCTCGTTTGATGATTATAAATTGTTTTTTTTGTAATTCCTCTGTTTTATCAATTATAGTGTTCATTTCAGATTAAATTTTTCGACTCCCACCTGCCTTGTGAGCAATGTTGAACACGGCAGTTGGGAAAAGTAACAAAGCAGCAAATACTTTAAAGGGGATTAATAACTTTAATGCTCTTAAAATTCAATTGAATAAATTGCCCCAAATACCAACAGAGGTAACACAAAGGAAATTTAATCTTTGCCATACGAAAAAAGAAGAAAACAAGCTGAGTAAGCCACTACATATTTATAGATCTCAAAAAGAAATAGCAACCTTTCAAGTGACACCAAGTTACTCGTTTCAATTTGGATAATTAAAAGAGGATTATTATTTATTAGCAGTTAACTATTTATTGAATTTATCATTTCAATTATTTTTTACCATTCTAATTTATATAACTTTTGGTTTTCATTTGGATATTTTCACAAGGCAGTGTCTTTTTCTATACCTTTAATCGGTTTTTTTTCTGAAAAATTGAGCAATTTTTCTGCACAATTTTACCTGCAGTAAAAAATTTCAGCAAGCCGTGAATTCAAAAGGAAAGATTTTGAATTCAAAAGGAAAGAACTTAGGAAAAGATTTTGTAAATTATTTGACAAAAATATGTTTTCAATATATGTATAAGAAAAGCAGAGATTTTAAGTTATGTGATTTTATCCTAATTTACTTCGACCTTAATTTTTCGGCTCTTAAACTTTATAAACAGAATAAAACTAAGTCCAATAGCTAGTTATTCAAGCTAAAAACTTCGGACATGTCGATATCTAGCAGTAAAATCAGTTTTCAAAGGATCCGAAGTTGTTCCACAAAAACGACACCTTCCACCTTTGAAAAAACATCTGGGTTAACATGGTCCTCCGCTTTTTTAAATTCTATATAGCAAAATCCGAAATCCGTTGTTTAATGCACGAAATCTGTACACAGAACAAGAATAGCCGGTTTTTGTGCAAGTGGCACAGAAAGTTCCGACCATAGTCTTTAAAAACCCACAAGAAAATTTTTTCAAATTAGCGTAGCTTTTTTTTAGGTGGCGTGATAAAAAGATCTGACGTAAAACTGCCATTTAGTCATATTCGACAGTCATAATGATATAGACAAACAGGACAACAGATTTTGAAGAAAAACGACTAAAAAACCATAACTTTTTTTTCAGTTTTTCTTTGCAGAAAACTTTCTTGAAATTTTGAAGTGTTTGATTTCTAAAATGGCATTAAGAATATCCAAAAATCAATTTATTTATTATAGAAAAACTAAATTTAAGCATGAATATTGTAAACGGCCTAAATTAAGCGTAAATAAGTGTGCTTTACCAGCTCGAATTTAGTCGAAAAATTCATACCGGTTTTTCAAATCATGACTGAAAGGGCAAAACAAGAGAATCAATTTTGATCAATTTTGACCTTAGATAACCTTGCAGTCAAAATGAACAGCGAGCAATACCGGGAATTCGGTAAACGGATGATCGATTACTCGGCCAATTATTTGGATACCCTAAGATCCAGAGAAGTTTATCCCAATGTGAAACCGGGATATCTGAAAGAACTCATTCCAGACAGTGCGCCCGTAGATCCGGAACCCTTTGAGAATATTCTAGAAGATGTGGAGAGAGTGATCATGCCGGGAGTGACTCATTGGCACCATCCAAACTTCTATGCCTATTTTCCCACAGGTGAACTTTCATTTTTAAATATGACACATAGGGTGGTTTATTGACATATAACACGTGGCTTTCGTAACTGAAAAGATTATAAATACCAACTTTTTTTTCGGAAACAGAGAAAACCGATAAAAGTTTTACGCAGGGAAGCATTTATCAAAACACTTGTTTCTTAAAATTTCTCTATCAAAAATGAATTCTATCAAAATTTTTTTTATAAATGATGGAATCAACCGCTATGTCTGTTTTTTTTTCTGGTGCAATTTAATTGGTAAACTGTAGCAATTTAGCTAATTCAAGTTACTTGTATGTACACTTTCAGATGGATATAAAAGCTTCTCTTTCAGGCAACTCCTACCCGTGCATTCTGGCTGACATACTTTCGGACACACTGGGTGTCATAGGGTTCTCCTGGGCTTCCAGTCCCGCTTGCACTGAGCTGGAAATTGTGATGATGGACTGGCTGGCCAAAGTGATCGGACTACCAGAACATGTAAGTGCCCATTTCGCATTCTTCTCTATGTTCTATAACTAATTTAACTCATTAAAACACGATAAGTGCTGATCAAATAAGACCTTGGTGATACAAAAAATCATAGTTAACTTGGGGATACAGAAATCATAAATTGGCTGCGGAAAAGGGGTCTATAATGGCAGCTGATAGGGGAGGGGGGTCTAAACTGAGGAAGAGATAAAGTGCTTACTTTGTTTAGTTCTTGTCTTCATCTGACTCAGGGGGAGGAGGGGTGATCCACTCGACCGCCAGTGAGGCCACTTTGTTCACAATGTTCGTCGCCAGAGACATCAAAGGTGGAAGCGACACCGTTAGTTACTCTTCTCTGAAGCGATTGAACTTTGATCCAGGGTCACAAAAAAAGTCATTGTTTTGCCCTCGAAAGACATAGGTCTCTCAACGAACAGCGTGCCGAAGACGAGGGAGGGAGGAGGAGGGGGGTGGGGGTTGTTTATTTACTTCAAATCTGGTCGCCAGTTTTTCAAAGACTCTCTTCGTTGCAATTTTATGAACTATTTTGACATGAAGCTAATAAAAATTGCCATAACTGAAGCATAAAAATGAAAAAAAAAGTTCAAAGAAAAAACCCCAAAAAAAATTCTCAAACCTTTTTCTAAAAACACGTTGAGCTCAACTAACATCAAAATTCAAAAGTAAACTTTTGCACAAAAACAATCCGACTAAAGAGTTCAAGAACTCCTCAATTCTCTGCAATAACTGAACTTCATGACAATTTTTACACTTTAATTCGAAAAATTTTTTAATCGAAGAACTGTAACTGTTTGCAATTCGATATTGTTGGCCTAAAATTAACTTTGATCTAGAATGTTCGCAAGATGGTGGCATATGGGTCCAAGCTAGCCCACTCAAGTGTAGAGAGGGCCTGTCTGTTAGGTGCAGTGCAGTACACTTCAGTTGCTTATGACCATAACTACTCCATGCGGGGCCATGACTTGGAGGAGTCCATACAGAAGGACATAGAGAAGGGACTGATCCCATTCTGTGTAGTGGCCACTTTGGGAACAACTTCATGCTGCTCATTTGATAACCTCAAGTAAGAGTAACCGTTTGATATGCAAAATATATGAGTTACGGTTGACACAACGTACGGCCAACGGTCAATAATACATTATCAAAAAAAGAAGCAAAAAAAATCAATTTGTTATCGTTTTCTTTATTTGCAGCAGTGGATTGAAATTGAGCTGAAACTGAGCGAAAAAAAGCCTTAGAAATTTTGTATATCGCTTTGAAAAATGAGCGTACATTTTGGGCAAATCACCCATTCTTTGCTAAAAATAAATCTCTAAATTGCTAAAAATAAAGCAAAACTGAAGGAACCCTGTAACCTAAGTTTTCTAAGTTTCGGCGGATCTAAGTTTTTCTTCTGGGCGGCGGAAGGGGCGGATTTTCTTTTTTTAGGCCGACCAAAAGACTAGTTGGGTATTAGGCGCCAAAGGCGCCCTTAGAAATATTTTAGGGTTGTTCGGCCGAAAATGGATGTCATAAATTAGTACTAGAGGGGGGACCATTTGGTTGATGAGGGGGTCGAGTTCCTCATCGAGGGGCGTCCATCTAAATCCGCTCCTGCTGTAACCCCACTGAACTTATTGAAAAAGTTTAGTAGAAAAAGCTCCTACACAAGAAGCAATTAGCATCGGGACAATCTCGTCGCAGCTCATTTTTATCAACTTTTTTGTTCTATAGGGAAATTGGTGAGGTGTGTCAGAAGTTCGATCTCTGGTTACACGTGGACGCCGCCTACGCAGGTTCGGCCTTCATCTGCGAAGAAACCAGACACCACATGTCTGGCATAGAACTGGCCGACTCTTTCAACTTCAACCCTCACAAATGGTTACTGATTCAGTTCGACTGTTCAGCTGTCTGGATCAAAGACAAGATCAAACTGGCTAATGCATTCAGAGTTGACCCGTTGTATCTGCAACATGAGAACCAATCACAGGCTGTTGATTTCCGACACTGGCAAATACCGCTGGGTATGAATTATATTTATTCAAAAAAGTTTACCTCATTAAACAGGATATAAAAATCATTTAACAAAAATCAAAATGATCAGCAGTGTAACAACGTTCCTCTAATTTTACTTGAACACCTAAAAATAGTTTTTTTAAGGGATATGCAAACGGACCTCTCTAAAACAAGTATGTTTAGGCCTACTGATAGCTTCTCTTGCGATTCGCAGGAACCACAGTTATCGTACTTCTAAATCAAACTTGCATCTGAGAAAATCTGGAAAACTTTACTATTAGTTCTAAATCAGCTATAGTGAGACTCCATCATTTTTTGAATTAAGCATGACCACTAATAGCTAAACTTACTTTAATTGAAAATTCTTTTATTTAAAAGTTCTACTTACTGAAAATTTCCGTTTTTCAATAGGATTTTTCTCTTAATTAAGTTTGAGTCAAAGAAAAGGAAAAAATAAATTTTGTACTCGCACTATCATCGCCAATTTCCTGCCGCCTGGACGCGACAATTTTTTCCTCAACACTTTCCTCGACAAGAGAAGTTTTTATATTTAGGCCGAAGATTTCGCTCTCTTAAACTCTGGTTCACTTTTCGAACATTCGGAGTCAACGCCTTTCAGAAACACATCCGGACTTCGATCCAGATGGCAGACTACTTCGCCAATTTAGTGACCAGCAACGACAACTTTGAGCTATTTCGACCACAGTCTATGGGACTGGTTTGCTTCCGGGCTAAAGGGAGCAACGACCAGAACAAAGAACTGCTAGCCAGATTGAATGGAACTAGAGAGGTCCATTTGACGCCATCGGAGATTGATGAAACTTATTTTCTGCGACTGGCAATTTGTAGCACCCAGACTACGTACAAAGATCTAGACAAGGCATTCGAGCTCATCTTGAAGCATTTCAAAGACTTATGAGAGACTCCAGACAAATAAGAAAATGGATAGTATGTTTTAAATAAGCATGCGATATAGCATGCTGGGTATTAAAAAAATATTATAATCGCTTTTAATAATAAATACAAATGAATCTCTCTAGGACAAGCCTGTTTGGCCCTACTGAGTTTAAGCCAGAGGTAGCTTTTGTCTTTTTTGTTTCTTTTTCTCTAAATTAGATTACTGTCGCACCAGATGAGTTTAAGCCAGAGGTAGCTTTCTCATAGAGTAATTTCAGATAATGGAACCTGATCTAAACTACATTTTATGATTGGATAAATTAGATATTTTACCACTGTAAAGTATTTAATATTAACCAATCATGATCCATCTAACTAACAACCCACTTATTTGTAAGTGCTGAAATTACTTGTAATTTCAGCACCAGAGAGATTTGAATTTAACTTAGAAATTAGTTGCCTCTCCAAGAGAACTTCAGCAGCCGCAATAAACCAGTATACCCTAGATCTATTGAGCCTAGCAGAGACTAGTTAAACAACCTGAGACTAGATAGTATAAGAGTAAGATTAGGATCGGTATTAGACTAAGAAGTTGCACGAACCTATCCGGCCGAAAATAAGATAGCGTGACGAGCAGACGGTGTACCCTATCCGAAATTACTCTATGAGTTAACCACATCGGTCCTAACTCATCTGGTGCGACCATAAGTCTCGAACAAGACCTTAATAGCTTAGAATTAACCAAAAATAGATTAGAAATTAGACAAAACATTTTCAAAATGTTATACGACAATAATTTAATCGAAATGTCTCTACGACTCAATAGATCAGAGCCAATATTCCGAACGATAACAGAACTACCCGGAATTGGAAGAAGACCTCAAACCAGAGACGACATACGACAAAGTAGAAACTTACCATATAGTTATATGATAGTACGGCAAAAGCCAACACAAACTTTTATATTTAGAATTTTATTAGCAATGAATTTAGATTTTCATTTGCAAACATAAAATCTTGAAGTCAATCTTCATGATCATTTCAGGCGCTAAACAAAATTATTAATATACAATAACGATTGATAAGAAGATCTCAGATCGTTTTCCTAAATTCTGCAGTGTTATATAAAACATGTTTGGAAAATGTTTATTGAAAATAAAAAACAAAAATTAGTAGCATGACAATAAATTGTTAGTAATCATAAAATCATTTGTAGCCCCAACTTCATCACCTAAACATAACAGCAGTCATAAGCTCACTAAAAATCATTAACAAAAATTTTTTAAGCAATTTAAACCATTTTAAACTTAAATTCACTTAATTTTAAAATCAGATCATCAAGGCTTATCCTTGGATCTACATTAATTTTCTATTTCATTAAATTTAAAACTTGATCATCAAGGCCTATCCTTGGATCAAAAAGAACAGTTTTGTTCTCCCCCACCCACTTAGCTAGTGTCTAACGACCTCAAACGTCGATTCACTATCCAACCCTTTCAAAAAACCCAAGACTAATAGAAATTTTTCAACGAAACTAACCATTCAAATTAGGATAAACAGTGAAGAACTTCGGTTATTCATCCTTCACTTGAACCCTCCTCTTACCAGACCCAGGATAAATCTTAGACTTAGTAAGTTTAAAATAGTATCTAACGAACTACTTGCGTTCTAATTATACCTGAACCTTGTGGATCGATTTACTATTCTCCAACCCTTGAACACAATCACTACCCCTAAGTAAGATTAATTAAGTTAACACCTTAGCTTATACTAGCCACGAGAAAGTAAAAAATCATTCTTCGGAATCGATATACTTTTCTCTCCAACCCTGAACAAATAGACCCAGGTTAAGCTAATCAAAAAATCGTAAGGACTAACAGTTTAAGAAAGTAGAAATCATCTAACAACTTTTTGCATCCCTCATCCTAAACCTTATGTCATTCAAAAATCTAGGAAATAAACAAACAATCGTTTTACACAACTGTGAAATAGATAACAAAAAATACGACCTTGTAATCACACCTCATACACAAACAGTTGGATATATTAGAACAAAACGACAAACACTAAAAAGGAAAATAATAACCAAACAAAGACAAATCACACGAAAAAGATTTTCAAAAAATAGAAACGCATTTTCAGAATCAGAAGCCAGTAATTTAGACGAACTTTATAAATTAAAAGAATCTATTGATAAAAATTGTCCCATTCACGATCAATTATATTTTTCCGACTCAGAAACAACTTCAAATTCATCAAAAAGAGGAAAAAGAAGAATAAAAAAGCAATATAAACACAAACCAGTACACTTGTATAATTGGAATCAACCAATTAGACACATCGATAGTTACCTATTAACAGTCATTAAACAAAAAAATGAACCAAACACACACTCCAAGTGAAGATAGTCCAGATGACGACGATATTTACCCCTTCCTCGTAGATGCACCCGATAATAGAGGACAACATGATCTTTGCAAAAATTTACTCCTAAATTTGTTTGAACCCGGAATTAGCCCATGCAAAGCAGAGTTCCCAGATGTAAAAATCAAAAGACAAATTAATGATCATTATCTGAAAGATATATGTAATTTAACACAACAATACGGAATCTACACCATAGAATTCAGTACACCAAACCCGAATCACCGCAAAAATGTAATTCAAACAGACGATCTTGACTTAGAATTTTCAAAAGTATTCTTAGAATATATAAAAAGCATACAATATCATAACTCACAAAGAGCAAACTCCATATTTACTAATGAAGTTTTTGCAATAATATATAGTTATATTTCAATATTAGAAAATGAAATCCCAATCCCAAATTTCTCACCGACAGAGACAACCAAACATATAAGGGTACGACATGAAATCACACTATTTTCAACTTTCCTACATATAATTAAAGAAAACTTCACTAAAGACGAAGTTTCACAACACACAAAACATGACTTACAAAAAATTTTGGTATGGTTTATAATAGATTATTTTACACATAATATAGATTTAATTTCGCAAGCAAGAAAAAATTTCAGACCTCAAAATTCAAACGATGATACCGCCATCACAGAACAGTCAGACTACGTTTGGGACCCCGAATGGTCTCATTATGCATTTATAAATATCCCACAATCAATCTCATGTCAAGCAATAAGTACAATATCTTATCCTCTGATGATGATTATTTACAACCAGATATATTTGCACCATATACACAAGAATATCGCGGACAAGGGGTGCAAAAACCACATACATATCATAGAATTTTTTCTCCACATCCAACAGATACACAAAATCAACAACCAATACAAATGCAAAACCCAATTAATACACAAACTTTTCAACCAATTCAGCCACAAAACCCAATGATCACACACTCGTATCAACCAACACAAATGCAAAATGAAATACCACTCCCATATTACCTTCAACAACACGAAATAACAAAAAATCAACTTTCCAATTTTTCACAAATGCCAAATGCCGCAGAATCAATACAAATGACAATGAATCCATACCTTATGGGTGGATCATCAATAACATCAAACAAACCATTAATGGTATTCACAGGAACAGACCCTGAATATTCTGTAGAAAATTATTTAAACGCAGTAACAGCAAATTTGATTTTAAATGTAGGACCAGAACCAATTAATACACCACTACATCAAAGTTGGATACATCGACGCACAGCGTTGATACAAACAACCTTAGATGGCGCAGCTTAAAAATGGTTTTCAGTATTGCCTATAGAAATAAAATCAAATTGGAAAAGATTTACACAAGAATTTTCAAAAATGTTTGACTCCGAGAGAAATAAACAACAACAAAGAGTTTTATGTAATGAAATTCGCAGATTACCAAATGAAACCATCAAACAATTAGCAGTACGTATCGAAACACTAGTTCGAAAAGCATATTCATTAAATACACATGACTATAAAAACACAAAAATGACAGAAATCTTAATGATGACTTTAACACCTCAATTAAGGAAAATAGCAATAAAAAAGAGAGCATCCCATCCTCCCTCAATTCGAGAGCCCGATCTAGATTTTCGAAAACTAGTAGACAAACTAGAGCAAGCAGAAATCACAATGAAACTTGAAGAAACAGAAAATCTGAAATTACAATATGTTAATCGAATTGAAACAAATACCACAAATATCAACAACATACAGGAATCAGATACAGACCTCGTTGAAAAAATCACTGAAATACTAAATATTTATGAAAAACACCCAAACTTTAAAGGCAAACCATCTTTCAAAAAATGGTGTAATTATTGCCGACGATACGGACATAGTATTTCTGAATGTAGACAAAAACAACAGGATAACCAAAACAAACCTCAAAAATATAAAGAACCAAATAAATCATTCTATCAATACATGAAGAAAGATCAAAATCTACCAAACAAAAATGTATACAGCAACAACAGTTCATTAAAACCACTTCCGAACAATACCAATTACACGAGAAATCAATCACCATATAACTCAAGTTATAGAGGAAGATCACCAGAACGAAGAAATACACAAAATTCTTCACAAAATCATTACAATTGACCAAATAGTCAAAATAACTACTCCAGATCAAATTCAAATACAACACAATTTGTTTCTAGACCTAATTCCCAATCAAACATAAGAAATAAATACTATCCAAACAATCAATCACGAAACTCATCATATAATAGAAATAGAAACTATTCAAATAATCGAAATAGAAGTTATTCGAACAACCGAAATCAGAATTACCCGAACAATCGATCAAGAAATAATTGATATAACAGATCAAACTATCACAGATCAAACGATAATTATCAAAACAGATCACGAAACAATTCACAAAATCGACATTCAAGTAATAATAATCGTTATAGAAATTATTCCCAATCACTACATAGAAATAATAACCATTATAATAATTCTAAACATCGCCACAGAAGTAGTACACCCAAACGTCAAAGACATATTAATCAAGTACAATCAAATGAAGAAACAACATCAGAACCCCCAGGTATTGATGACACAGGAAATAACGAACTACAACTAAATCAAAGAAACTGTGGATCATCAGACACAGAAAGTGATACAGAAAACACTCTCTCCATAAATATGATAGCAGTCGAAAACGACTACGAACCTATTATATATGAACAAAATTTTTCATCACATATATATGAAAATCAATTAGAACTCCTTCACAATTATTATATTGAACCCATCCATACTACACAAACGGCACAAGAAACTAACGAAATAAACACTGTAAATAAA